GGAACTCTCATATAATGATTACCTCCTGAGGAAATAATGGCTAATTGAGCTTGAAAGGACGTAAGAGTAGTTAAAACACTACATTAGATTTGTATGGCTTATTGGATGTGTTGTTACTATATCGCAAAGTATTTTAATAAATCGTGTTTAGCCTACAACTTGTCTATTTTCCAAAAAAATTTTTCTAGTAAGTAAATGATAGTAAAAATTAAATTCGTAAGAAAAGCTTCTTTATTTTTGCCCCCCCCCCGCGCAGCCTCCTTGCAAAATGTCTACATTTTGGGGGGACAAGAAACTTTCGGTTAATTGATTGAAATATCTAAATATCATGTCATCTTGATCGCTAGATTTTGGCAAAATTTCAAATTTTGGACAGCTAACCCCCAGACAGCTCCATCTCAGACAATCGCGTGCAAAAATAATGAGACTTTTCACATTTTTGGCCATTTTAAAGTACGTCGGCCTCCCCCCTGCCCCCATGGTCAATGTTGGAAAAAGTGGGTTGAATTTACTCTTTTCAGTCATCCACACAACATTGAATTGGGGGTGAGGGGGGCACTTATGCGGTTGTCTCAATAATTTTTGCTCCTGATTGTAGTGAACCACGCGTGATCTGAAAATTGGTTGTCACTGTCGAGGTGTGCCTGGCGTTGCATGCGCTGCTCGCGCAACATATATGGTCAATAACTGTTTGACACGCAAAGTGTACGAATTATATCCAAAACTTTTAAATCCCCCAATCCCACTCTTTATCAAAGAGGGATGCGGAGTTAGGTATTGGCTCGTATTATTTGATTTGTTTTTCCCCACTATTTGTAATGTTGTGATGGGTGCAAGCTGCCCGACTGTGGTTGGCAGTTCAAGATACCACTTGCATAAATCTTTCCTTAATCCAAGTACCACCACTAGTTCGCAGGCCACCTCGGTCAACAGCTTGCACCTGACCTTCCAATTTGGTAAGTAGGGTAATACCGGGTACTCGTATATTTGGTGGCCATATCTATGGTGAACATAGATATTAATATCATTATATGTCGCCTGGTCACTCAGCTCAGATCCATTTTATGTATATAATTGCTGCAGGGCGATCTGTGAAGTGAGGGATCTGTTCAGTAAATATTTCTGGCGCGTTGCATTGTGGTCGTGCTCTGTTGTTGTGCGCAGTACACATCCACCCGATTCCACGGGCTTTATCCACCCGATTCCATGTTCTTTGACTCACTACAGTCTACACTTCACTACAGACTAGTAGACTAGGGTACCTGCAAGGTAGGGATTGCCGCGGGCATTAAGAGCAAATAGAACTAAATGGTACAAATGATATAAAGCACAGTTATTATTCGCAACGAGCCAGCAACTGGTGAGCACAGTGGCCGAAGCTTAATTTGCGGGCTCAAACTCCTGCTGGCGGCCATTTTTCGGGACGAATAGATTGGATGATCTGGAAAGTTTTTACAATCAGTCATACATTTAAACCAATCTTTTATAATCCTTGCGCTTTTTGTCTGATTTTTATCAGAAATGTACCAAACAAAGGTATTTTTATCTCTTTTTGTTGTATTTGAGTAAAATGTAAACAATAACAAAAGCCCGCAATGCATGAGTCTGACACTAATCCTTTAAAGTGCATATGACATGAAATTTCTTATTTTCTTAAATGAAAGAACTCTTTAAGCTGTAGTGTAACTCATTTTTCAGTTTCTTGTTTTTGTGGTTTGTTCCCGAGATATTTCAATTTGTTTGGTATATAAATGAGTGTGAGCATGTCCGCTAATTTATGACGTCATGTTGGTTGCAAGCTCAACTTACACTGGTTATAAATGTATTAACTCTGAAAACTGAAGATATTAGTTCATGGTTTTCTCCAGTGTTTCATGATCACATTTACCAGTGAGCGAAGTTTGAAGTTATCATCTTGGAAAATAGCAGTGATATTCAACCATTTTGACTAGCTTGCAACCAACGTGACGTCCGAAAAATTAGCGGACATATTCACACTCATTTACATATCAAACAAATTGAAATTTCTCGTGAACAAACCATAAACACAAAAACTGAAAAATAAGTTACACTACAGCTTAAGGAGTTCTTTCATTTCAGAAAATAAGAAATTTCATGTCATATGCACTTTAAGGATACAGAATCGCAGGGCATTTTTTTTTAATTACAACTACTGGGGCTAGGTCTCAATGAGGGCCTTTTCCTCACACAATTACGCGTACATAAAGACCATGCTGTGCAGACTTTTATCAACCTCGTTCCCAGGGCTTTCTATTTCTGCCCGAGGAAGGGATCCTTAATATATCATTACGGAGCTTTAGATTTGACTACGAGTACGACTACGAGTACGAGATTTGATCGCGTGCTAGGAAATTACCGTAGTCGTTTTCGTTTTCACTCAAATGTTGTTTTTATAGCAGTAAACCAACAACGAGAGAAAAAGTTTCATAAACTAAATCTCCTGCAGACTAAAATCCCCTACAAAACGTGAAAATAAGTCATGACATTAAAAACAGGCCAGATATTTAGTATTAATATATTATTTGCGCCGAATAAACGCTATATAAATGCTACAAATTATTTTTGGAAAACAAAAAAAAAGCCAACTTTCTTTGTTTTTTTGAAAAGTCGTCGTGAGGACTACGAGATTTCTCCGCAAGTTCGTTCTCAGATGGGCGACGGCTACGACTTTTTCGCGTCAGTACGGGATGGCGTAAGCATACAGCATGCGTTTTCGCTTGACGAATCTCGTACTCGTAGTCGTACTCGTAGTCAAATCTAAAGCTCCCTATTATCCTTAAACTACTCTGTCACGTGGAATGACTTTATATCTGATAAAACTCATCTTCATTAGTATTCTTTATATAATTGTTCATCATAATTAGTATGATTATATAATTGTTCATACTAATTATTCTTTTGTAGTCGTATTTTAATTTTAAGCTATTCAAAATACTCGTTGCTGTGTTTTATCAGATATAAAACGCTCGGCTGCGGCTCGCGTTTTATCTCTGATAAAACATTCCTACTCGTATAGTACTTAAACTCCGGCCACAGTGCTCACCAGTCGCTGGGTTGCTGCGCAATAATTGTGTTTTATATAATTTGTACTATTTAGTTTTATTAAATGCCCAGTACCCTATAGTTATATGATTTTATCAATTTCGGAGGCTTAATTAATTAAAAAGCAATTATTGTAATATTGTCAACAGCTCACTGATTAGGGTCAATGCATGGCCAGAAATTTGAGACAGTCAGCGCTGTGTCAGGTCTTGCGGGCACAAATGAAAATCCGCCTACCTTCACTATAACATAATGGCATAAGGTATTACATTAATTATATGTATTTGGCAAAATTAAAGTTAAATCAAATCAATTCGGTATATTCATCACTTCTGCCGTAAAAATGGTTAATAAGCAACGGCAATACAGCAAACATGCAGTATTCATTTACTGGCAGATAGATTTCCTTTTACTATATATGTAGCTACACGGACCCTACTTAATTAACAAAGTTCATTAAACTGCGCTGATTATGCATCAACTGACGCTTTTTACTCACCGAAGTGCTATAATGAAAGGAATCATAACATTGCCAAGAATTGCTTGCAGGTAAGGTGCTGTCCGGCTTCCGCTGCTGGCAAACACGGTAAAAACTCCATTCATTGCATTGAAGAAACCAGCTAAAAAAAGTTGCAAGTGTGGGAACCTTCGTTCTGCCTCGCCGAGCTGATCTAGTCGAAAGAGACGAATGAAAAGCAGCGCTGCTCCAAAAATAACAAGCGAAGCTATAATCGCAAATGATAAGACAAAATACGCATCAACCTGAGGATCGTACATCCCGTTATCTTCTGTGGAGGGATTAGTTTGGTTCGATAAATTACCAGTTGTATTGGCTTGGATATAATGACTTGAATGTCTTTCTGAAGACCTCAGTATTGTTGAGTCAACCCACAGAGGCAAGGTCACTTTCATTCCGACCTGACCGGCGATTGACAAAAACGCAAAAAATACGTTGGCTATTGTCAGATTGACTTCAAAACAGATAACCTTAACAGCCTTTCTTTTCGATTGATGTGATACGTTTATACTATTCGGCTGTTCTAACTCCATGACTGTTTACCGGAAGAAACCTCAAGAATGATTTTGAAAATAATTTACTATTGTTAAGCTTGAACGCGACGGTCGTAGCGCGACTTCACCACCAGCAATACAACAGTTCTCGTTTGACTGGATTAATTGACATACAACGATTAATCGAGCTGATTCAGCTTAAGTAAATGATATTTGTCATCTGATGGGCAGGCTAATCGTCAACTGACAATACTCGTCATTAACATTCGGCAAAACCTGAAATCGTAGCTTTCGCCTGCGTAGCTTTATTAAACCTGAAATCGTAGACATACAATTCATAAAATCATATCCAGATGGTCGACATAAAATCAAATCCAGATGGTCTGTTTGAGAGCTAGGCAGCTACAAGTACAGTGTGAAGCATATTAGCAACAAATACAGATTCCTTACTGATATATTCGGTAATGCGATTTACATTTTTTCAGCTGTTTACACTTTGTTTTGACTATCCATCGGATTGTTCCAGGATCTTCGCTCGAAACGTCGAGGTTCTGTTTATGTCGCCTGTCTGTTATTGTTTTTGTTGTCTCTACCAACAGTCCAACACTGGTACCGACCCTTTGAGTGCAGCTAGCATATGGGACACTCGATGAACTTTATTTAACTACGGTAAACACATCGGGATTTTACTCGCCAATTATAGAATAAAATAGAATACGAATTTACGAAATTACGAATTTTATATAGCTACATATACATTTGTAAGAGTACCAGAACCTGCTGTTTTCCATGAGTGTCGTGCAATTACTATTAAATATAAGGATAAAAAATAGAAAATTATCTTATGAAGTTGCTTCATTCTGATTCAGACTTGAATTTACGTGAAGTGCCAGCTTTTCGGAAGGGTGTTTCACAGTACCACACACTAGACTATACCTAAGGCGAGACTTTTTTATTTATATATTGGTTTACGGATTTGACTTAAAAAAAAACAGGTCCGTAGGTCGGGAAAATGTTTAAAAAAACACACCGGCTAAGTAGTCTAAGTATATTTAAAATCGAGGTTTTTAAACTTCCAGTTGGAAAAGCATGGCTAATCTCCATATTGATTGTCACAACGATAACATGTGCCAGCAGTACTTACAGTAAAATATTACTAGGCGTGTACTTCATGTCAGAACCCCCACCTTAACTAAAATTAACTAAAATCGTAAAATTGTTGACATCCAAATTTTTTTTTATTTTCACTTTCTGAATATTTACGGTCGGCGGATCCGTAAACCAAGGAATAAACTGAAAAGTCTCGCCTAAAACTATTTCAATAGTTTGTGCGTGGTTGAGGTGAAGCTATCCGGATGAACTTGGCCCCACGGATGTTTTACAAATTTTATTACTCCGCGCGTGTCAGGCCTTTGGCTGCCTCAGGAGTATAAGTCATGGGGAGCCTTTTTAGATTTTTGTTTCGTTCCACGCAGGAACGAAACGGTACTGTATTTGGTTTCGAACAATGTCACAGGAAAGTGACGTCAGATATCAAAGTTATCCAATCCTTTGCCAGTATTCTTGCTGAAACGTCAATTACATTTAGAATCGTCCAATGAGATGACCGCTCCTAGCATAAGACGTTTTTTGGAAGCGTGGCGTATAATTGGGAATCTTAGTTAATTATATATCAAACTTGTCAGGCGAAGTTCTATCCGCTTTGTGTGACGACGTGGTGTTCTAGATTTTGGCCAGAATAAAAGGCTCTTGCTTGGCCTTTAATTCATCTAAGCCTGGCCCTTACTCTTGAATTTAGTCTTTTTGGGACCGCGGGAACAGTTTGACCAAGCTAAGAATAAATACGAGGCCAGATAACATACTGCGCTTGGCCAAATACTTCATGCGAAAAATTAAAAACGAAGAAATATATATATATTAATTAAAGCCATAATTATATAATTGCACTCTCGTTTCCGTATGCTCTTGTAATATATAAATAGGAACTCCGTAACATGTTTACAACTTCTAGGCTGCTTTCGTTATCTAAATTTGGAAATGGTGTAGATATCTATGGGCGTGACACGTATTGGTATTTAAAAATAGTAGCGTAAATGTGACTCTGATGTAACCTTTCTACTGTCAATCATTTTTAAATCAACCAATTAAAGACAAGAATGACGAATTGCAATGTTAACTCCAAAACTAAGTTTAGGACATCATTTGGCCCTGTGATCTAGGAGTGGACGGAGTGAGAAGATATGCGACTTTAATGTTTCAAAATTAATAATGAGTTTATTTACAAATAAACCAAGAAAATCGTGTCGTAACGCTTTTGTCCCATAAACAAAACTTTACAAAATATATAAACTGTTCTATTATCTTACCGAAGAGGTTTCATCTTGATTTAAAGTCATCATGTTGTTTTTTTGACAAATATACACTGACGCCATTTTGAATCTCATAGGAGGTTAGAGTTAGGGATGGGGATTTGGGCGAGGTTTCGTGGTTGCGTGACATGAAAACATAACCTGACTCTCGACTTGCCCCCACATATTATTTTTGCTAAGGGACGGACCATTTGATTTTTGATGGGGGGGGGGTAGATTTTCAGTTTGCGCGATAATGTTTTCCACCTCCTGACACTGTTCGATTTTTTTTTGCAGTCGAAGGACTTGCACGATATTTTTTTGTATGCATGTATATACATTTTTTGTATTTTTTTGACATTTTCTGGTATAAAATAGGTGATTGGACAAGTACTGGTGTAAGACATTGTGTAGCCTAAATAATGAGAGGACCAGTATTCCAAAAATGGTTCTTTATTTTTTTATAATCGTAGTTTCCGGCCTAGTTTTTTACATACATGTTCATCATAGAGGAGTCGGAGTAAAGAAATAAAGAACAACCATTTTTGGAATACTGCTCCTCTCTTCAGGGGCGTAAGAACTTTGTCAAGATTGGGTGGGGGGGGGGTGGGGCACACTCACGAGGCGAAAAGTTTTTTGAAATTTGAATCCTCTAGATCCTCTGAAATGGCCATTTCAGAGTCTTATCCACCTCCTTCAGTACGGTCAGGGAACCATGCGGTGCATTTCTATATAAATATACCAATATAATACAGAATTTTCTTTAAAATTATTGATTTTTATTGGGGGCGCCGCCCCCCCCGCTCCCCTTCCGCTTCCTACGCCCCTGCCTCTCATTATTTAGGCTACACAATGTCTTACGCCAGTACTTCTCCAATTACCTTTTTATACCAAAAAATGTAAAAAAAAAGAAAAAAGTGTTTGCCTCTGCAAGCGGTGCCTCCAGGAACAATTGGCGTATGCTCGAGTAGAGCGGAAATGCACCAAATGGCAAATAAGGATTACCACTCGAACGTTTTGCTCGATATTTTTTTCCTCCGTTTATTCTTGCACCATATTAGTTTAAAGTTCGAAGTGCTTGCCCGAAATTTTTTGGGGATTCTGCCCTCGCCCCCCCCCCATCAAAAATCAAATGGTCCGTCCCTAATACGACATGGCAGCATTAACAAAAGGTGACAAAGTCATTAGCCAATGAGATTGCTTATCGCAGGTGTGTATCAAATCTAGCAGGTGACAGGGCCTTTTTTAAGGATTTTCCCGTGGGGGGGCATTTTTTGAAAAGG